CTCCACTAGCTTTCAGCAAAGAGCGCCACTTGGTGATCACCCATTTCTCGGTGCCGATGTTACTGATATCAGAGGTATCAAGGACAGTGATGTACATTTGATCACTGTAGGTCGTGATAGGTCTTCTCCGTGGCGCGCCCAAGAAGAACTCAACTTCAACCTCCGCACCGTGAGCCCTATAAGACCACGTTAGTAGCACGGGACCCAAAGGCTAGAAGGAATAAAATAGCAACAAACCCTTGCGGGAGTTGCTATACGCACAATAGTAAATGACATCATCGCGTACAGATGACTATTACAGTGAGACGAATGACTGTACACGTATAAGAGGAGGCCAAAGCACTAATGTTCGGCACATCTACTGATTATGACGAGTTTTAGATTGGAGAACCTGATTATCCAACCTATATAAGTGGCCGAAATGTAATCTCACCGATAATATTGGAAAAAAAGGCCTGACTGAAGCAGTGAGACAAGCACGAAGATAGTTTTGGGCGCACACAATTGTGACACATCTCCTTCCGTTCTTTGACGCCACTACACTATGATTTCGGCATTCCTTTAAGGCTTTTTGGAGTATGCTGAGAGTTGGCACCTAGTTAAAGTACGAGTAAAAAGGAAACCAGCGTGATTTTCAACACTTGAGAAATATCATATGATCTTTTGTCTTTACGAATGTTCAAAGACACATGAGCACTATATTCAAACTACATGCTCTAGTCTTTCGGACCTTGAATTCTCGATTCTTGGACAAGAATAGAAAAAAACTCAATCATCCCGAACATGGAACTTAAAAAACAATTACCGTCAAGCACATCGTCTATTCAAGTATTCACAAGACAGATCGATTTTATCTCTAAGTCTAACTCCTCTTGTGCTAAACCTGAGTAATTCGATGACAACAATTCTAGACTTCATTGCCTCACTAAGCCTGCAAGAGGTTTTCAAGTCTTTTAGACTATATACATGCATATGAACTGTATATAAGTAGATATGTACATACATATGCATATATGTGTATATATACATGTATACATATATACTATAGATTCCGTTGACCAGAAAATTACTGTTTCCGAAAACGATTTATGACGACTGCCTAGGCTTTTGAGTTAAAAACTCCGAAGACTTATCTTTAAATAAATAGTTTTAGAATTCATTAAAAAATAATAACCAATCCAATGAATTTGTCAAATCCTCAAGTGATCATGCACTCGGGCACCTGGCGAAAGAATCCGAAACTTTTTCGAAAAAAACACGCTCGTGAAATCGCCGTTGAGCCAGTCGCCCGACTAATCGCAGGATTTGCCATAATCAAAAAAAAATCCTAACCACGAAGTGTCAAGCCTTAGTTTGATCAGCAGAATGTCATGTTTGGTCGTGATGAAGGCCCTAGAAGACTCGAACATGACTATTTGCGAATCCCTTACGCTTGATCAATATTGAATGTGCTAACGAGAAAAGATGACACTGCCTCGAGCTGTGGCTAGGACAATGTACGAGTTCGAGTACCCGAGTGGACAAAGACTATAGGAAAAGGAGAAGAACAGAATAAACAATGGAACCCGAAAGACATGTGGAAAAAGAACATCCACATATCGACCACTTTGACAATATCAAGAATGTATTGAACCATCACTTAACACTGACACGAAGTCATGAACTTTGGAGGAGTCACGAGATGTTACGAAAATGGCGGCTTCCATGTTCCAATCAGCATAACTTAGCGAATGGCACGTTTCGATAATTCCGTCACGTGCAGTTATAACTAAAAATCTATTGCATGAAAATTTTCTTCCTTTTTTTGTGGTTAAATTCTGATTTTCTGGATTGCACGACAAATATTCCTTCCATTTTTTTGCTGCAGAACTTACATTTCGAGCATGAAAGTAAAGCACAAAGCGAATTTTTTTCCAGCATAACAGGGTATTGTCCGCGGTTGTATTATCTGTATTTCTTTAGCAGCAATCATTCTGTTATCACATTTCAAACTGATTTACTGCACGAATTCCTGATTACTTTGATTTGAGCATGTTCAGACATGATAAAAGAGTATATAAAAAGCATGCATCCAGTCGGAGCAGTACAGAAGAATCATTTTCGTAGAATGTTGTGAACTCTTGAAGAATTTCAGTGATGGAGACATTATCGTTATAGGGAGAAATCTTTTATCCAAAGGCTCTCTTGCAGAAGCATAATGTTTTAACTGTATATCAAGAATCTTGAGTGATACGCAGGGCTTAGAACCTAGGGCGAGAGTCAAGTCCGCTGCTCACCCTTTACGCTGGCGCATGTTAAACACTGCAACATCCAAGCCCGTCTCGTGCTACTCGCGCGATACAAGGTATTCTATCAATAAACATTCCTAAAGTTTTTGGGTTTCGATTCCTGCCCGAGGTCTAGAGTTTCGCAACTCAGTCAACATATTTGGATGAGTATTTTTTACATTACAACAGTACTAGTAAAGCGATAAGTTGGAGAATTCAAATATGTATATGCAAATATATAAATGTAACGTATATTTTTTAATATAAATAAATAAACATACATTTGAACTCCTTCTGTTGAGGAGCGGGCAAATGAAAAACCGATCTCATGTGCCGAGAGGAGTTTTTGGTAAGAGTGCTAGCAATCATTAGAAAGCTGAGACTTAAGGCTTTAGTCCGTCTTCGCCGGTTCTAAAAGTTCACATTTTTGGCGTTGACAGAGTAGGTTCTTTGGCTTTGACACGCAAATTCTCGCCAGACAGAGTCTTTCCTTGGACTATTAGTAATCATTCGATAGCATAACCGAATTTGATTCCCACGTTGCGCTTATATCCTGAAAAGACCGCTTTTCTGAAACGCAGCAGTTAAGATAAGCTGCATTGCAGCTGGTAATAAGTCGAATATCCATGTGGGAGAAACAGCGTCCTGCGCGAATCACGTGGGTGCTGGATCGCAGCTGCCACTGAACGGTTCTATGAACGCGTAGAGTATATGGCGTTGGCAGTCATGTGGCGGCCACACCCTTCGAGACGTGAACTGGCTTTAGATCTTCCGTTCTCACACATCGAATCCAACTTATTTTACCTACAGCGCTGCAGAGAAACTGTCTTTCCGGTACACAAGCACAGCATTGGCATAAGGAAGCACTACGCTATTTTATGAATACTAATAGCTCAAAGAAAATGCTCTGTCCGGTGGGAAATATGCGCTTGATTGGGGTAGAGAGCACAGTGTTTTGAAAGGTTGTTCTGGAAAACCGTCGACGTGAGGCTGTCGCCTCAAGTCCCAGCTATCGAATGGTTACTAACACCTCTGTGTAAGTTCCTCTCTAGCGAATGAGGTCGATTTTTTCAGCTCTACCCTCCTAATGAGAAAGAACCTATATTTATATATACCCAATAACGTTCGGTGATGTGCAATACTTCTGCCTCAGACGGGACTCGAATCGGTATCTCATCTATCCGTGGCGTGTGATAAAACCCGTTGCACTAACAACTAGATTTGCCATTACCCTTTTTGCGCTACAGTGCATCACTCTGTCAATAACTAACCGTTAACGGTTTGGCCTGGTATTCGATATCGACACTGAACCCAGTTACACTAACAAATATTTGATATACATGTTAAAGGCAAGAATTCTTTTTATTTAGTAGCTGTATAACGTTGGTACGATGTTAAAAATGCACATAACGTGTTGACTGTTGGTTCTTGACAGATTGATGCGTTGTAGTGTAGAAACAGTGTCTGTAAATCAAGCCTCGATAGTGCAAAGAATTAAAGCACGCTCTTTGGATAGGAGAAAATCGCGCTCGAGTCCCATGCGACGTCAATGTTTTGCAGATCGCTGAACATTATCGAGTACTGGTCCATCACCATCAGCCGATGTTTCGGCTGGTAGACCAATACTAATCCATTGAATCGACTGTTTCTAAAACTTCGTTATAAACATTCAAAATCAAATCCAAAAAAAAATGTTCTTAGCCTAAAACGAGGTTGGTACGCCAGGGCCATACACCGGTGTTTCGGAGGCTCGTCCTCCTCGTCAGTGACCCCCGCCCCACATTAAGCTCTGCATTGTAGCAAGGAGCGAGGCGTATGTGGTAAGTGATGATGGCACAGTGTACAATGACACTGGTCCATCGCCATCAGTCGATGGTTTCGGTTGGTAGACCAAATCTAATCCATTAAATCGATTGTTTCTCAAACCCCAGCCGAAACATCGACTGATGGTGATGGACCAGTGTCTTTGTACACTATGCCATCACCACTTACCACATACGCCTCCCTCCTTGCTACAATGCAGAGCTTAATGTGGGGCGGGGGTCACTGACGAGGAGGACGAGCCTCCGAAACACCGGTGTATGGCCCTGGCGTACCAACCTCGTTTTAGGCTAAAAACATTATTTTTTTTGGATTATCGAGTACATTTGTACCATCATACCACCTCTTCTAAGAGATCAGTTTAAATGTACTCATATCTGCAATATTTATATATATATATATATATATATATACGTGTATATATAAATGCGGATATCTTTATATACGTACATGTGCAGAATATATATATATGTATGTATGTATATATATATATATACCCAATATAGAGCGCATGTGGCGCAGTGGTTAGAGGTGCCCTGCGTCGCACACGAGGTCAATGGTTCGATCTCGCGCTCATGGCTCACCAAGCCATCCATCCCTCCGGGGTCGGTAACTTGGTACCAGACAGGTCTCAGACTTGTCTGGGAGGATAAGCAGCACTGACTCGGTTTAGCGGGAGGCCTCCGCGAGTCATTGTAAAGGCCAGATATGCATTCAATTACCTCAAACGAAGTTAAAAATTGAAGTCGAATGCATGGCGCATCCCTAAGGGATTGATCAACGCCGAGAGCTTTATCCCTTTTATCCCTTTATACCCAATATGTGGAGTACTGTGCAAAAACGTTTGCGTCAGACGGGATTCAAACCCAGATCTTACTCTTTCACTCTGAATAATAGTGATGTGCAAAACGAGCGTCGGTAGTGCAACGGTTAGCATACGCTTTCGGAAAGAGTGAGTCCTGCTTTCGAATCCCGGCCGACGCAAACGTTTTTGCACAGTACTCCACATATTGGGTATACTATAACATCATGCCACTGCAAGTGGCAGTCAAAAGGAAAAGAGTTTAGATTATATATATATATATAATATATATAAAAGGATAAAGCTCTCGGCGTTGATCAATCCCGAGGGTTGCGCCATGCATTCGACTTCAATTTTTAACTTCGTTTGAGGTGATTGAATGCACATTTGGCCTCTACAATGAGTAGCGGTGGCCTCCCGCTAAACCGAGTCAGTGCTGCTTATCCTCCCAGACAAGTCTGAGACCTGTATGGTACCAATTTACCGACCCTGGAGGGATGGATGGCTTGGTGAGCCATGAGCGCGAGATCGAACCAGTGACCTCGTGTGCGACGCAGAGCACCTCTAACCACTGCTCCACATGCGCTCATAATATATATCATATATATATATATAAATATAAAATTATAGGTGCGCAAATAGCTTTGCCATTTTTTTTCAGATACTTCAACAGTAAAAGTCACTGTGCAAACATGATTCACATGAGACTGATAAGACCATCGAGGTGAAAATACGTGCATGGGCTCTATAAGTAAGCCATTATATAACAGACCACATGCGTTTCTCAAAAAATGATTATCTGGCATATTGAAGTTTGAGCGTGGTCTTAAGAAGACACTCGAAGCGATGACGAACTCTCAATATTGCCACCTTTAGTCTCTACAGTATTGCGAAGTCGCTGGAAAAGATTTCCAACGATGCTCACACATGTTTTCACTGTTTCGTCCCAAGTGTGGGTCACGGCCGTTTTGAGCACTTCTATACTAGTATGGCAATAAGCCAAGACTTCTTTAAAATAAACCACATGGAGTAATACATTCTGTTAGATCTAGCGAATTTGACGGCCAACCTTTGCGTCTAAGCGTGGAAACTGCTTCTGACTAACAGAGATTATTGAACAGCCCGAATGAGCAAGAACTCAGTCGCGCTGAAGAGTAAATTTTTCGGCTCCAAGTTTCTGAGTACTCGCAAGGCTTCAGTACGCTCGCGAAACTTCGCGATGATAGCAGGCAGCGTTTATTTTGACGTTTTCTTTGATGAAGACTAACGGCGTCTTTCCGGTGGCGCAAATGGGTGCCCGCAGCATCACAGAGGCTGCATGGTTGCTGCCCGTGGTTTCTGCCACCACGGACTTCTGCTTATCCTTCTTGAGACATTTGCGTAGATTCTGACAATTGTGGGGTGGTTCAAGCGTGAATTTCTTTTCACTCGTGAAAAACATCTTCGACAAACGAGCATCATCGAATAAGCGAGTCATTCGGCTATCCTTTGAATTACGTTTTTCTTTCATCGTTTTTTCCAAAGCAAGCACGAGTGATCTTATAGATGCCTAGCTTGAGTTTATTCGTGACAAAATCTTGGGCGCTTCGCTCTCAGCGCTGTGCGAAGGTTTTCCTTAAAAACAAGTGCAATTTTGATTTTTGATTCGTATTCACAGCGATTTTTTTCTTTATGCGGATCCCGGTACTTCAGATATTCAGTTCCTTGTTTCGTCTTCTTCGTGAACGTCGAAGAATACTGGTTGAGGGAGTCTCTATGCAGTCTCGAAGATAGCCTGGTTGTGTGCGTTCCACCCAACGTTGTTGTTCATTGCGGAGAGTGTACGGGTGGAGCTTGGCTCAACGCTCGTCCCGACAAAGATCCTAACTATTCAACCGCGACGCCCTTCCGATCCAGCAAGATGAATAGAGAAAGGGTTCCAACCTAGCAAAATGAACAACCATAAGCTCTTGAAGATCAGCGTTGATAGGCAAACGGCGTCGCGGCATCGGCCCATCGCTTGCGCGCAGTCCTAGAGGGCGCCGTCTGCGTTTATGTGAGCGAAGTTCTGGTTCGTGCGTCTCCGCCTACATAATCGCCTTTATTCTCTCGATACGAGACACCGCGATTGCAGTAGCTGATTGAGCCGTGAGAATTGTGAATGAGAACAAAGGCGGAGAGTACGCCCTGGTTATGACCAATCAATTCCCAGGAAGAAGCCAGGGCCGTAAGTCGAAGAAAACTACAGGATCATAAGAAAACGTTTACGAAACAAAGCTTGTTTGACAAGAATGATCTTGCACATTGCAATACAATGGACTTTTATAATCTCAACTGTGAATATCGATTGCTGCAACAGTCTTTGTCATTTCACGTGTTATACTTACTCTTTTTAGTCCATTATGTTCTTCGCTTGATTTTCTGCAACTCGCCATGTTTTTACCTCCAGGAATAACTTTAATAAGACCATCTGTAGGTGGCTTTGAAAGGCCCATCAGTACATAAGAAATCCTCAGGTCTGACTTACCGATCTCGGAGAGATAGGATGGCTTGATGAGCTACAAAAGCGGGATCGAACCGTCGACCTTGTGAGCGGCGCAGAGCACCTAATCATTGTGCCACATGCACTCATAAAGTTGAAAAATATGGAAATTGACGCTATTTTCACCCAAAGTACACTCATCATTATCACTAACACAGCCGTTATCATGATGATCGTCGTTATCGTTATCATTATCGTCATCATTTGGCGACTTAGTTCTCTCGTTGAATTACAGGAAATATAGGCGTCTTATGGATACTGCTCTCTCAGAACCTGGGTTCGCCTCATCGCACCTCTCATACTGTCTACGCTGTCTTCCCACGAGACACGCCGCCTTTCTTATGGGGAGCGACAACGTCATTACAGTAGCTGATTGAGATTTGCAGTCGCGCGGCGCGGTATGAAACCTGCTGTAATGCCCTCAAAGGGATTAAGAAAGGAAGTAATACGAGATCCGATAATTGACCATCGAAAGGTGCTAAGAAATTTCAGCAATAACAGTAATTGTTTTAGAAATAGCCATGACTAAAGTGATGACTACGTCGTTGGAGCCAGTGTGTCATGTTAGTTCCACATGTGGTCAGTGGTTCACTCGAATCCAGTCAGTCCGAGCGCTGCCACCCCACTGTGTTAAGAAGGTGGTGGAAAGATAAAAATACTAGCCTAACACATAGACGGAGTGCCGTTATACACTGTTCAAACAACATATATATATATATATATGTTTAGAGATACATATATATACATAAATATATATATATATATATATATAGACATATGTATATCTATTTATTTATCAATTCATTTCAAGAAAGCATAGCGAAATCGAGTACCTGACATGTTGGCCGGGCGTTGATCAACGCCTTATCCTCCATCTTTGATGCTTTATCACTATTGTGATAATGATATTCACTATCATCATCTGAGTTCATCTGGTTAGCTTCATTATTGCCTTACTATCTCTGCAAGACGGCTTTACCTCCTTCGCGGCGAAAAACAAGAAGATACAGTCGGAAGAAGAAAACGCCTGAAGATGCGGGGTATGGCGTCTTTTCTTTAACTTCTTTTTGAAATTCTAACACGGCGACCTGCTTGAGACCTAGAGCACCGATTGCTGAAGGTCGAAACGTTAACTTGACCTTGTGAACAAGTAATAAGAGCGAACGCTATAGTTACGCTTTATTGCTACTACGTCTTTGCAGCTGGGGTGACGCAAACCAAATTCATCTAAAATTTTTGGCCTCTATCAACCGAATATATCGCAGCTTACATGTTGGAGAATTTCGCCTGATGAATTTTGACGTGATCCTTGATACGGGAACTAGTCAATGCCAGCTCATACTTCGTAGTCCAACCTAGGTGATGTCTAAGTGGTTACTTAAAGACACCATCTTCATGAGGAATTACTCAGCAGCATCCCAAATTCCAAATGTTAAGCAATCTGATGAACACGGAGATTTTTTTCCTTAGACGATTAGGATTCTCTGAGTCTTCAATATATACGGCAGCTAGTCCTTGTCGATCAGAGGAAAAATTTTCAAGGCGTAAGTACGTTTCACTAGAAAAGAATTGACATCTAGCACTGGTTACTTTACTTTGGTTGCGGGCGTATCTTTTCCTATAACCGAAAGATTGCGCTGAAAGACTGCGAAAGAAGTGTGAACTAGCCAGCTTCTCTCATGTTAAAACAGCATACCATTCCAGAAGAAGCGAACTAGATTAAGCTTTGGCATTTAGGAAAGACGATCGAGCACTGAAGTGAGTGTATCTCTATCAAATTTTCGATTAAAAGTAAGCCTGCATATATATTTTGTTTTTTTTAAACATCCAACATCCTGCAAGGAACTCCAAATTTGGCGATCACTATTCGTCAGTCGCATGTATGCAAAACGTGAAGAATATCATTAGCTATTTCTTCGCTCAATCATTTTTCACTGAAGGCTGTGGTTAATGTTTCTTAATTAGTGCTGTGTTTTCAAGTGAATGTTATTGTAAAGCATGCGCTTAGGAAAGGAGTTACAGGTCCTATCGCTGAGTTCAAATCTATGAAACGAGCGAATGATCTCAAATTGAAGACAGAAGTTGTAGCTCAGATGCCTAACGAAAGAAATAGGTACAAGGTATTGAAGGTGCTCATAACCACAGCCAGGTTTTCTCATCTCGTGCAAGGTTTAGAATAAATGAACAGCCATGCACTGATATTTTGAGAATAGTGTTAAATGGAGACGTTGGAAGCTCAGTGTTCACAGAGATTCTGTGCTTTACACACTATTTACCCTTTAGTTCGACTCTACCTCAAGGCAAGTCCCATTTCTCTGAGGTCAATATTTTGGCGGCACTCCTGTTTGGGAAAAATTTTGTGAATTTACAAAGACTAATTAGTGCTCTAGATGGTCCTGGAGCGTTCTACGCAGTGATACCGGGATTGTAAGGGGAATCTACTTGGAGCCACCATCTGATGGTAATTCAAGAATTAGCTATGGAATTTTCATGCTGCAGCCGAGCCTAGGTAGAAATAATAAGAAATTCTTGAAAGATCGGTGCAACGCATTGAACCAGTTGAAAAAAAATAGTGTTCGTACAGTGATGACAGATAATCCAGAATTAATGATTATCAAACACCGAGGCGAGACTAATGATTAGTGATCCTCCTCTTATTTT